CACTCAGTTTGTTTCCTGCAATTAAGAATTCCTCATATCAATGAGATCATATGATACATGTCTTTCTCTGTTTGACTTATTTCACTCAACATAATACCCTTGTGGAGCACCCTCTTACTGGTTCTACTCTAGGCTGAGTTAAGGGATTTTCATCCCTATAGAACAGGCTTGAGAAGGGAAAAATCACAGGAAGGGTTTGGGTATAGAGACACCCCCCCCCTTTGAGAAATTTCCTCTAGTAAATCCATTTTTCTGGCTCTGAGTTGCAAACATTTTGCACATCTGTTCTTTCAATAACCAAGAGAAGGAGCAGGTGGAAGGATGATTCCCACTGAGCAGATGAGGACTCGGAGGCTCGGGAAGGGAGACATGCCTCATCAGGGAGAAGGAAGTCAGCATCAGAGCCTGGAGCTGCCCTCCGGCCTTAGGACAGCCAGACCTGGGTTCCTTTCCCCATCCCTCAACACTCCACTCCCAGTCATACCTCAAGGGGGGATCTAGGAGCTGGTTCCCATGTGACCTGAGCACGCTCTGATTCAGTTTCAGAAGTGACTTGCAATGGATCCTCTTCTGTGCCGACCTGCCCTCCCTCATCCAGGAAGGCCCTCAGTACGTGCCCTTAATCTGTGACTCCGATCCCTCTCTGCCTTTGCTGTGCTTCCTGAGGACCGATTTGTCGGGTGGGAGGTGTGGGTTCTTCCCAGGCACCTTGGGAAGAGGCAGAGGGGAGGGAAAGGGCGGCTGGAGGGTGGGGTCCCGGGTGCATGCGCAGTAAACTGTTGGAATGGATGAACAAGTGAGCAAGCAAGTGAACCGTCTTACCTCTGACTCCGCTTCAGCACTCCTCCTTCTGGAAGCCCAGGTGACCTCTCCCCACCTTCCCACCCTCCCTGCAGCCCACCAGGCCTGGGAAAAGGGAAACTCCCCCAGCAGAGTCGACCTGTTCCTTACACTCCAGCTGCCAGGGCAGAGGGGGCTTGGTAAAGACATGACTTAGGGGTTGAGCGACTGGGCCTGTCTCTCCCCAGGTGCGGGCTGGTGGCCTTGTGGATGGCAGGCACACTGCTGGCACCACCCAGTGGCATCCCCCTGGAGAGACTTGTGCAGATGGCCGTGGAGAGAGGCTACACGGCCCAGGGAGAGATGTTCTCCGGTGAGTTGGGTGCAGAAGGGTCTCAAGCCAGTCCTGTGAGGGGACCCTGTTCCAGTCCTCAGGCCCTTCTGGAGGCAGGTTGTCTTCATTCCCAGCCCAGCGCTGCCCCTTCCTGCTGGGTGGCTGGGGACAAGCAGCTTACCCTCTCTGTGCCTCATTTTCTGCATTTGTGTTTGTTTTTTTTTTTTTTTAAAGATTTTATTATTATTAATTTTATTTTTTTTTTTTTTTAAAGATTTTATTTATTTATTTGAGAGAGAGAGAGAGAGAGCATGAGAGGGGGGAGGGTCAGAGGGAGAAGCAGACTCCCCGCCGAGCAGGGAGCCCGATGCGGGACTCGATCCCGGGACTCCAGGATCATGACCTGAGCCCACGGCAGTCGCTCAACCAACTGAGCCACCCAGGCGCCCCCATTTTCTGCATTTGTACAAAGACGTGGCAGTGGCAATGATGATTCGAGGTGCCGATCCCCAGTTAGCCCATGGCTTGCAGCCAGGCACACAGCGATCCTTCTGTCTCTGTCACCCCTGCAGTGGCCGACATGGGCAAGCTGGCCTGGGAGGCACTGGGCTGCCAGGCTGAGCAGCTCCACGGTGGCCTGGGCGGTCCCAACAGAGCCCGTGTCCTGCAGCACCTTGTCTCCGGACATCCCATGCTCATCCCGTATCCCACGGCCCAGAAGGGAGCTGAGGGGGGATGGAGAAGGGTGGGTCCCAGGGCCACACCACAGCTTTGGCCTTAACCCCCCCGCACCAGCTACGACGAGGACTTCAACCACGAGCCGTGTCAGAGGAAGGGCCACAAGGCCCACTGGGCAGTGAGCACAGGTGGGTCTCCCCTCCCATACTCCTGTATGCTCACCCTGTTTGTCCCCAGCCCCCTCATCACCTCCCGCACTTTCAACCTGACACTGGCACTTCTCCCGTACTCAAGGTGGGGACCAGGGCTGGGCTGTCCCCATCCCTACAGGATGCTTAGTAGGGACCTGGCAGGTGGCAGGTGCCTCAGTATCTGCCAGTCAGGGTTTCCACAAACAAGCTCAGAACACGGACTTCAGGATCAAACAGTTTGGGCTCCAGATCTGCTCCAGCCACTTCCGGGCTCTGTGACTCTGGGCTTTCCTTCCTCCATCTGGAAATCGGGGTGACAGCAGGCAAAGCATATAAAAGTCTAACCGGCGCAGGCACATTGCACGTGTCCGTCAGCGCTGGCATCCATCGGCCTTGGCCTCATTCTGCCTGCCTGCAAGAAGGCTGATTTGCATGCTAGGTGGCCTGGAGGCTCCCCCATGCTGGGTCCGTGGCCTCAAGGGCTTCTCTGAGCTTTCTTTTACTAGACAGCAGGAAACCACTGGGTGATGGTGCCTGCTTTGTTGAACAGCATCTCCCCTCCCTGGGCTACTGGGTTGTAGGAGGCAGGACTTCAAAGCCCGCAGCCCTGGAGCCAGACACCCTGGGTCCAGTCTCAGCTCCGCTGTGTGCTCGCCGCCCTGCCGACTGCTACCCTGAAGGGCCGTGGGGAGCTTGGCGAAGCCCCAGTACCGAGTCCGCGCTCGCTCCCGCTCACAGCCTCCCCTCTCCTCCCAGGGGTCCTGCTGGGTGTGCGGGCCGTGCCAGGCCTCGGCTACTCTGAGGACCCCGAGCTGCCAGGTCTGTTCCACCCAGTGCCCAGCATGCCCCGCCAGCCACCAGCCCTGCCAGAGGAAGGCTCCCCAGGAGCCATCTACCTCCTCTCCAAGCAGGGCAAGAGTTGGCATTACCAGCTGTGGGACTACGACCAGGTCCGGGACAGCAACCTACAGCTGACGGACTTCTCGCCGTCACGGGCCGCCGACGGCCGGGCGTACGTGGTGCCTGCAGGCGGGGTGCGGGCCGGCCTCTGTGGCCAGGCCCTGCTCCTCAGACCGGGGGACTCCAGCCACTAGCCCGCTGCAGCCCTGAGGCTGGCTGACAGGGCCGCGGCCACAGCTGGGCTCTGTCACCATGTGAAGAGTGCTCCGGTTTCTCCCTTTGCAAGAGCCCACCAAGTGTGGGCTCCGTTCCCAAGGACCTCCAGCCAGAGATCCTCCACGCGGAGGCCCCCTCCCACCCGTCCGTCCGGTCCCAATCCCCTTCTCCCACGCCCGCCCCCCCAGTATTGGGCTCCTGATGTGTGGCTGGGGTTCAAGCCGGGAGCCAACCAGACAAGCTCCCTCTCCAGGGAAGAGACTTGGCCACAGCTCGGCCCACAGGTCCTGCCTGTCTGCCTCACCTCAGTGTTGCATCCAGCCATTTCTCACTGGTGACCAGCCTCTTCTAAAGGACCCGCCTCTCTCTGGACACCTGCAGGAGCCTCACCAGACCCCTTGCTGCCCCCCAGCGTCTGTTCCCACGGAGCCTAGGAAGCCTTGCCTTTCAAAATGCAAACCGGGGCTTAACCACTCGCCTCCAGAGAAGCTTCCAGCAGCTCCTAGTTGCTCACAGGATAGGGATTAAACTCTCCCAGCCCCAGCTCATCATGCTTTCTGCCGCTAGCCACACTGGCCTTCCAGGTCGCTAGAGTGCCCTATTCCCCTGCACCCAACCCTCTGCCAAGGATAACTACTTAATTCTCTATTTTGGCTCATCTTCCTCAGGAAGACTCCCTAGCCCCAGGCGCGGCCCCTCCCCCACCTCTTGTTCTGATTTAGAACCGAACGTGCTTCTATGTGCCAACCCCTTTGCTCATTTTAACTCATCGAATTCTCCAACCCCGTAAGGAAGGGACTAGATTTTCCTCCATTTTACAGATGGAGAGACTGAGGCCTGGAGAAGTGTGGTGACGGGCCTGAGGTCACATGGCTGGCAAGTGGCAGGGCCAGGATTCAAACCTGGCAGTTAGTAGCTATACAGATGTGGGTGGAGAAAGAGGTTATTGATTGAATGAGGACCTGTTGCTTCTACTCTGAAAGGGAGGAACAGGTCCGTCTTGGTCACCTGTGTACCCAGTGCCGGGCAAAGGGTCTTATTTAGAGATGCTGTACAGTGTGGTGTCCCCCCCCCCGCCCAAAGAGGAGCACCCCCGCCCTGGCCCCTCTGCACCAGAGCACCCCAGCCCTGACACCCTGGTTGGTGCTGTCTGGCGCACTGTCCTGGGAGGCCCTGAGGGTGCAGCTGGGAGCTGTCTGGGTCACTAGTCTGTTCCCCACGTCATCCAACACGGAGCCAGGCACAAGAGCAGTTGCTGGGTGGATGCTGACTGGATGAACCGGCTTGCTCTGCATCCCAAACCACTCAGGATCCCATGCCCCCACCTGGCACTAATGGTGAAACTGGGAGCTTTGAGCCCACACACCCCAGACATAAAAGAAAAAAGTCCATAAAGTTGACCGACTGTGCGATTTATTGGGGCGTCGTCATGGAGGGGAAAGCACGTGAAGCGATTCTGCCTCCTGTTCGGAACGCTGCCCCAGCTAACGACTACCTCTCTCGGATAAGTAAGTATAAAGGTGGTCAGTAGAAAAGGAGCACACCTCCTCAGGCCCGGAAGACACGTTCGAGCTTCAGCTTAGGGAAGAGGGAGGTGCCTGGTTCCCAGCCTCTGAAGCTAGGGAGCCAAAGGTAGAGGTGCAGGAGGAGGGGGATGGAGGGGCGTCACCCACGCATGGCGGCGCTAGGGTCTCTGGTTTGGAGCAGGCCGCAAGCCCCAGGGCCACAGCCAGCGGCCCCACCTACCCTGCACCCCTGGAGGAAGGCAGCTCTGCTTCCCAAACCTGCTTTTCCGTGGCTGAAAGCCCTTCCCGCCACCAGCCGGCTAGGAGCAAGGGAAAGGGGGTAAGGGGTGGGAGGAGGAAGTCCCAAGGCTGAGGCTGGTGCCCGAGGCGCGAGGTGGTGCCGGTCACAGTGCCGGGCACGCGACGTGGCTGTGGTCTGACTTCTGCAGGGGGTCAGCAGAGTTCTTCCAGGAGCGGGGAGGATCCCATGGGGCCAGGGGAGGGCAGGACAGGGAGAACTGGGTCCCGCCCCACGGCAGCAGCTCTCAGCCCAGCCCCATGGCATCACACCCTCCCCCGAGTGTCAGCGCTGGAATGGCTCCCGGATGAACGGATGGGGCCAGAACTCTCCCAGGCAGACAGGTGGCCCCTGCCTTTGTGCACGGTGAGGGCTGGTTCTCCGACGCACCAGGGATGAAGCTGACCTTCCCCAGGCCTCCGGGAGCCAGCCTGCAGCCTGGAGGGGGCTGGCAAGGAGGCCGTGATTACAGTCATTCCTACGGCGAGAGGCACCATGTCACACAGGTGCCCTGTGGCATCTGAATTGTGTTCTGTCAGGGCTCACGGTTTAGTTACGGTCTCCAGCAGCCCCTCAGAAACTTTCCTGGCTGGTCGGAGGACCCAGTCTGGTTCTGATTCACCATGGGATGTGGCCATGTCACACCCCTGCTCCAGTCTTTAAAACCTCCCTATCATGAAAGGGCCGGACGCTACCTGGTCTCCCAGGCCCTTCGGACCTTCCACTCTGGTCTCGCGTGCTGTAAAACACAACCTCTCCCATCCCCGCGATCAGCCCCCACCCCACCCCCTGTGGCCAATCTCGGGGCACCGCCAGCCAGACAGGCACCATCCAATAAATAAACCTGGCAGTGGGCAAGTGGGTCAACCCTGGGCCAGCCCCTGAAGGAGGTGGATCAGGTTGTCCAGACCCCAGAGGTACCCATCCTCGCGGTTGCCCTCGGCCCAGGGCAGCCGGTGGCTGAGCGTCTGGTGGTCGGGCAGGGCCACTGTCTTGCCGAAGTCAATCATCCAGACCCTGGCCAGGCCAGTGTGGTCATGCACGAAGAGGAGGGAGCTGCCCACCACCTGCAGGGAAAGAGGTCGGAGGTTAGCGGGAGAACGGGCATCGGCTCGGGCCCCCTCCCCAACAGGCAGCTGAGCAGGGCGCTTGACAGCATGAACTCCGGAGCCGGGCTGTCTGGGTTAAAATCCCAGCTCTGCCTTTTTACCCTTTTTCACGCTGGGGTACAAATGCAGGTGCCTGCAGGATCGCGCATGGGTCAAGAGCGCCCGACGCCTCCCCCCGTGGAAGAAGCGCTCACCCCCGCGGACTGCTGCTGGTGCTGATGCTAAGAGCCCCCCTCCCCTAGCTGCTAAGGTCATTGGCAGCATTCCACGACGCACACACGCTCTCGAAGTGCCTTGCGGTGCTGGACACACAGCCCTCAGTAGATGCTGGGGCGGGGGGGGGGCGGGTAGGGTTAAAATTAGAAATAGTACTTTCGTTGCCTTCATGGAACTCCAGGTGTGCAAGGCCCTCCCCTTTTCTAGTCGGGTTTCAAACCCCACTGCTCCCAGAGAACCCAGGTGACCGGGCAGGTGAGCAGGTGGCTGTCAGGAGAGGCAGTCGCTGCCCCACTCCGTTTGGCTGTTGGCGTACGGCGAGCGGCCCAGCTGGGGCCACATCTCCCAGTGGGCCCGGGAAACCGGATGTCCCTACTCGGGTCAAGTCTTATGTTTTAGGTGCTGGCAACTCACTTTTTAAAATGCTAAGTCACCAGGTGGGTGAAACCGAACAGGAGCACAGAAGAGTTGAGGTCCCTGGCCCTCCTCTTCGGGACGTGGCGCGTAGAGCCCAAGGGCAGAGACGAGGACCATGAGGGTGCCATTTGATGATAATGAACAGGATAGTCCCGGCTGGCGAATACTGAGGGTGGACCATGGGCCACCCTTCCATGTATTAACCCGCCTTATCCTCACCCCACCCAGGAGGCAGGGGCTCTGCTAGCCCATCCTGCCTGTCGGGAGACAGGTCCCAGGCTCAGGGGGCTGGGGAGTGCAGACCGGGGTTTGAACCCGGAGGCCCAACTCCCAGATCAGGGATCTACGGGAAGTCGGGGACGCCGGGAAAAAGAAGTGAGGGGGACCTGAGCGGGGGTGGTGGAAGAGCTTGGAGAGAGGAGGGAGAGGACACCCACACGCACTGAGGTCACCACTTCACAGACTTCCTGCGACAGCCCAGAGAAATGAATGTTTCCAAAGAGACACAGGCTGCAGAGGGGGTGAGAGCCACCAAACAGGAAGGCAGACACTGGTAACTGGAAATAATTATGATTACAAAGTAATCTTTTTTTTTTTTTTTAAAGATTTTATTTATTTATTTGAGAGAGAGCACATGAGAGGGGTGAGGGTCAGAGGGAGAAGCAGACTCCCTGCCGAGCAGGGAGCCCGACGTGGGACTCGATCCCGGGACTCCAGGATCATGACCTGAGCCGAAGGCAGTCGCTTAACCAACTGAGCCACCCAGGCGCCCGATTACAAAGTAATCTTAAGAGCAAGAAGTTAGGGCGCCTGGGTGGCTCGGTTGGTTAGGTGTCTGCCTTCGGCTCAGGTCATGATCCCAGGGTCGTGGGATCGAGCCCCACGTCGGGCTCCCTGCTCAGCGGGGAGACTGCTTCTCCCTCTCCCTCTGCCTGCCGCTCCCCCTGCTCATGCTCTCTCTTTCACTCTCACACTCTCTCTCTCAAATAAATAAACAAAAAACCATTTTTTCCCTGTGTTAGGAGGAAGCTGAGGCCCTAGAGGGTAAGTCGCGTGCCCAGTGACGAACAGCCTTCATTGCAGACCCCCTGGCTCGAGCCCATGTTCTGAACTATCCCATCTCCCTAAAACCCACTCTGCTGCCTACCCTAAAAAGCAAACCCCAAAACATGGGGGTTCCTCTTAATAGCTCTGCCCTGTAACTCTGTCAGCGGTTTCTCTTCAGTGCCACCCAGATGCTGACACCCCCCTGCCCCCCCAGCCCCCCACAGGGCCTTCGGCTCCCACAACACCTGGGGCTCGCACCTCGTGGGTCTTGAAGAAGGGGGAGTTCTCCAGAGCCTCTCGGAGTTCTTCCAGGCGAGCCACGTACTTTCTCTGTGTGAGAGGGAGCACTTCTTGGTTAGCACAGGGACTCTGTGGGTCCTTCCCCGCCTCGAGAACGGACATCCTATACCCCCAAAGGAGCGGGCAGAACCCCGCCAGGATGGGATCAGGGGAGCCGCAGGGAAAATGCAAGGTGGGCGGAGGCTTGGATGCCTCTGGATGGCACAGAGCAGAGTATGGTTGGGACATTACATGAATATCCACAATTCCTAGCAGCTCCTCCAACCAAGAGGTGGAGTCTGAGTCCCTTTAACCTCGGCTTGGTCCGAGGACTTGCTCTGGCCAATAAAACGAGGCAGAAATGATGGTGGCCATTCCGAGCCATCGAGACATCTTGCATTTTCACTCGTTCTCTGGGCCACCTGCTTCCACCTGAGAACGCGCCCAGGCTCGCCTGCAGAAGCGTGAGAGACAAGTGGCCAAGTCGTGAGCCGAGACAGTGAGCCCATCACCAGACATGTGAGCAGGACCCTCCTGGTCCAGCCAGCTCCGGCCAAGCCACCAGCTGACCGCAGATGGTAAGCAAGGCAGGCCACTATCGGCCAGCCTGGGCCTACAGCAGAAGACCATTACCTTAGGAGCAATGATGACGGCAATGGTCTTAAGCTGCTAAATTTGGGGCATGGGTGTCCCACTCACCAGGATTCCACGGTTCCCGTCCACAAAGTCCTCTAACACCTTTGTCACCTGCTCCAGCTCCTGGGTCTTCTTGAAATTGGTGTTGCAGGTCCCACTGGCCTTCTGCAGGACAAGGGGCAAAGGCAGAGCGTCATACCTTTTCCTTCACGTGCCTGACCCCAAGCAGCCTCAGGCACCTCCTGGGACCACCTGCTTGTCCCCGAGCCCCTGGCTGTTCAGGAGGAGGAGCCAGCCCACCTGCCAGCCCAGCTCCACCCAACCCCACGGCACACTCCTGGGCCACTGGTCCTTCCCAGGCTAACCTTGAACCCCCTGGTTGAGCCAGTCTAGCCAAGTGGACTCTGGAGAGGGGTGGGTCTGGCTTTGAACAGTGACTCGGCCACTTCCTAGCTGGCAGCCTTAAGCCGCTTTCCCGGCCTCAGCCTCAGTTCCCACATCTGGAAAATGGGGATTGTGTTGATATTTACCACCTAAAGCTGGTATAAGGATCAGAGGAGACTGGATGTGTAGGATGCATGGCACAGTGCCTGGCACACAGTTAAGGATGCACTCCATAAATGACACTAATGTTATTTTTTTTTTTATGTCTGAGAGGGGCACAGAAAAGCCACCTGAGTCATCCTGCCACACCACCAGATGCGTGTGGGTGCTGGTAACACGGAGGTGACAGGACAGACACACAGTCGGGCGAAGGAGGCAGGTATGGAATAAGATCATCACAAAGGGAAATAAGAATAATGAGGAAGTAAAGAGAGGGCCCTGATCTGACAGGATAGAAATCAAGGTGGGCTTCCTGGAGGAAGTGAAATTTAAAAGGAGACAGGAGGGGCGCCTGGGTGGCTTAGTCTGTTGAGCATCTGAAATTCTGCTGGGGTCATGATCCCAGAGTCCTAGGATCCAGCTCTGCATCGGGCTCCCTGCTCAGTGGGGAGTCTGCTTCTTCCTCTATGCCTCCCCCTGGCTCGTGATCTCTCTCTCTCTCTCACTCTACCTCAAATAAATAAATAAAATCCTTAAAAATAAAAAATGGAGGGCGCCTGGGTGGCTCAGTTGGTTAAGCGACTGCCTTCGGCTCAGGTCATGATCCTGGAGTCCCTGGATCGAGTCCCGCATCAGGCTCCCTGCTCAGCAAGGAACCTGCTTCTCCCTCTGACCCTCCCCCCTCTCATGTGCTCTCTCTCTCTCTCTCTCGTCTGTCTCAAATAAATAAATAA